AATGAATCGCAAAAATCACAGCATTTCTCTCCTCATAGACAAAGGTAGGCTATGCACTAACTCTGCAGACATATGTGAACTATTCAACAAAACGTTTGCAGGTAACTACCTTAAGCCCTCAGTCCAGCTACTCGATATACACCCTATTACTAAAATGGCACAAACTCCAACTCCACTCACACCAAACCAAATTAGCACTGTTCAATTCACTTACGCTAATATTAACCAAACTATAAGAACCCTCAAAAGTTCAAAAGGTTTCGGTACCGACGGTATATCATCTTACTTCTATAAATATGGTGGCCCTGACATTCCTCTACTGCTGCTTAAAATATTCACAATGTCCCTAGAAACCCAAACTTACCCTGACATATGGAAGACAACATTCATTATGCCTAAACACAAATCTGGCTCGAAAACTGAAGTCAGTAACTACCGGCCAATCAATATCACACCTATAGCATCTAGAATCATGGAGAGACTAGTCAAAGATAACTTAATCAAACATATGCTTAGCTGCAATATTATAAGTCCGAACCAACATGGATTCCTGAAATCCAGATCATGTTTAACATGTCACCTAGACTTCTTCAATTTTGTAACCAGCAGTCGTGACAGACGGCAACTAGTACTTGTCATCTACTTTGACATTTCTAAGGCATTTGACCGTGTTGACCATTTACTGCTAACAAATAAGCTGAACTCCTTAGGAATACGTGACCCATTATTAGGATGGCTTAAATCATTCCTTAACAATAGGTCCCAAATAGTTAAACTCGGGTCTGCAACCTCCAAACCTAGCCCTATCACTTCTGGTGTAGTACAAGGTAGTGTCATTGGACCCCTCCTATTTACACTATACATCAATGACATATGCGCTTGCTTCACGCACGGGAAACCATTCATCTTTGCAGATGACCTAAAAGTAGCTTATACATTCCAACGTGATGACTTAGGGAACTTCGAGAATGTAGTGCAGAAGGAATTAGATAAAATGACTGCTTGGTCGTCCCTATGGAATCTCCAATTTAATCTGAACAAATGTGGCTGGATCTGCTTCGGTGCACCCTCAATTGACCTGAAATTAACGCTCCAATCTGCTAACCTAACAAGACTCCGAAGTGTCGTTGACCTAGGCCTGAGGTACTCTAGTGACTTGACATTCTCTGAGCAAGTAGCATCACAGACTAGAAAATCGAGGATGCTCTTAGGATGCATACTCAGGAACTTTCACGACAATGAAGCCAAGCTAATTCTGTACAAAACATGTGTCAGACCACTACTAGAATACTGTCCATTTATTATAAGCAGCACTCGCACACGTGACAAGCTAAGGATGGAAAGTATCCAACGATATTTTACCTCAAAACTGCTTGGCTACGATTGTAAGAAAGACTACATCTCACGGTGCATGATCCTAAAACTTGACCCACTTTGGACAAGGCGACTTATTATAAACCTAATATTCTTCTTTAAGGTCCTTCACAAAATATCATTCTCAGGTAACAGGGACATACAATTCGCACAGGAAGGTTCTTACGATCTGCGTAACCAAACTTCCACAGTGACAACTCATTCTTTTAAGTCAACACTCCGTGAAAACTTCTTCACAGTCATGTATTCTAAAATATGGAATAGCCTACCCCTAGATGTCAGAACTTGCTCTTCGGTTACAAGCTTCAAACGCTCTCTATACAGACTGTTTCACTCTACTGATTATATTAATAAACTATTTACTCCTAGAACGAATCAACCACTAATCTACTACAGCACCTAAAAGACGCACTTCAACACCCTTAGCAATCTTTAAACTATAAATAAACTAGCAGCATGGATGCATAAAGACATAGTACGGAACATACAGGATTAGTTTACCCTTAGAAATAGGACCTATCCCTCATTGTAACCTTCAAACGCTTGCTATATAAACTTTTATCCCAATGACTATCCCTACCAGAACCCATCACTTATTTCTAAAACGCATCAGTCATTAGAACACTAAAACGCTCAGACTCATTAATACACATTATGACACTAAATAAACTCTAAGACTTCGCATAAATACGTGAAAACACAATACAATATAGAAAAATGTTTACTTAAGTATAATATACAATTGACATAAACATTTATATATGCATATAATATTAATGTCCTTTTCATGTTCACATACTTTCTCTTTCTGGTATTTTGCTGCTCCTATTCATCTTCTGGTCGAGGTCGAACAACCCTGCATCTAAACTGAAATGAGGATTAATTCCAAACCGTCTATCTCATAACCACTCAAATTCCATGAACGATCCAATTCTACCATTTGAAGACGCTGGCGAACATGCTGTAAATGAGTATTCATGATCTGAAATGAAGAAGCAACTGGTTTTCAAACAGTTTTCAACATTTTACTCAACTTACGAATACAGTCCGCCATGCAGACACAAATGGAGCAAATGGAGAATTCTGGAATCGACCTCGGCACCATTTGATGCAGTAAAACAACCCAACATGACCTTATCTAGTTTTCGTATCCACGATCAAATTTCTTTCCTGTTATAAAACTACGATAAGACTGCTGAAAAAATGGAATAAATATATCACTGATCTCAACATAATACATCAATAATCTTTAAGCCAAGGGTGCTGTTCACAACAAAGTTATATAGAGAATTGACTTCAAGCTTTATTTTTCCCAGATATCTGTATTACATTCATCTGATGTCTGGGTTTTTTGTTAATGCGAAGACAATATTTCTATATCTCTTTATGTGCTACACAAACAGACTTTATAGCAGACTGTTCCGACTGACTCTAATGTCAGAAAGAACAACCAAACTGTAAATTCATTATACATCAAATTTGTGTAATTTATATAATAACTTATCCATGCCTGTACAATTGGTATGTTCCTGCATAAACAGGAAGAAATATATTATTATTACTTCAACATGCCAGAAGTAACCTAGTCTTCACTCCGAGGACCCCAAAGGTATGATAATCCCCTGGATTCCATCGTCACATGAGGGTTGAAACGACACAGGAATTCACCTACTAGATCTGCAAATATCCTATACCTTATTTTCACGAACAACATAACACCATCTACAGTACATGTGGGACATGAATTTCCAGGTATTGGCCATAAAATAATATTGTGTTCTTTTGACATCTTTCCTGAAACAAAACACAGAGAAGAAGCTGGCCAGACTCCTAAGAGATTGTACATACAAGCTGATAAGGACTTGCATCAGCATCAGCATGGTCGGCCCGCAAAATTTGAGCTACCGATATCCATGCTGAAATAACCATACTTGTACTAAAAATACAGTGTGGAATCAAGCTGTAATCAAAAATAAAAAATCTGAGTAGGTGCTCTAATTGGGACTCTTTTTTTCTGGAAAATGCTTAGTGGCAATTCTTAGTAACTTTTATTACTACATCAACTCCGATCATGATGTTGTCGCACTTGAGAAGATTCCTAGCTTCAAATTCAGTGCCTACTGTCAAATTACCTACTATCCCCAACAATACGTTCTCTTAAGCAAAAGGTCGTGCATTACTTGCCACTTAGATTATTCTGGCTACATTAAACAATGCATTGATAATGGGCGTTGAGTAACAACTTTGTTTCTCGACATATCAGGATCCTAACAAAACTCCAATCCCACGGAATAACTTGGAAGCTTCCCAAATGGATAAATTCTTTTGTCACGGAAAGGGATCAGTTAGTCAAAACCAACCACCATCTGTCTTCGCTAAAGCCGATAACTGGTGGTGTGATAGAAGAAAGCGTATTTGGCCCTATGTTATTCCTATTATTCATAAACGAATGTCTCTGGAATCGAATATGATAAGCCACACCTCTTTGCAAATGATGGAATCTGACCATGGGTACGATGACATGAGCGTCGAAAGCAAGATCCAGCATGACCTAGAAAATCTAGGCAATTGGAGCGAAAAACGTCAACTGACTCCTGACCCAGAAAAGTGCGGTATAGCCCACCTTGGACGCTGAAAGCCTAGAACGTGCTTATATATCTATGGTAAGCTCCTCTCAAAACTGAACACAGTCACAGATCTCGGGATAACATGCTCAGATTTAACCATTTCCGATCATGCAAATGAGGCAGTATCTGACTCTAAATGACTTACTGGCTTTGTACTGCGTAACTTCTGCACCCAAGAAGCAAGATTAGATATATACAGGACACGTATCAGCCCCAAACATGAATATTGTGCTCTCCTATTCAGCAAACTAACGTGTAAGACTTGCTAAAAGAGTACTTGCTAAAAAGTTCTTCAAATCGCCAAAGCAACAGATTCACAAGCTAAATCCTGAACTCAGCATTTAAGAGAATTTTGGTTCGGTCATTGAATCTACAGTGCTCCTGATTTGCCGTAACACCAAGTAAGTAGTATTTATTTCGTCTTCCTTTAGCTTGTTTGCCTCTTAGTTGTGTACTGTTTCCTCCCCCACCCCTTATCAATTCTCTACCCATTGTCACCACTGCTGGTAACGACTTTTGTTCAGTTTTATTTTTAGCTGAGCTCTACTCGGCCCCGTTAATCGGATTACATCACTCAACCTCTTTGTTCTCTCCTATATCAGTTTCTAAATATTTAACGAAATATGTTATGTAGAATTCGCAGTTCTAACAGTTACGTTGTAGATCCCCCCGACTAACGCCTTCAACATTACGTGATTTCCTATCTTAAATTTACAGCTCTAATGACAAATTTTTGAAGTATTTGTGTTGTTGCTGAGAAAATTGTCTCCATATATGTGATTGTATATCTTGAGAATGATGTAGCCGTAAAGAGTTAATCTTCGCTGAAAAACTCTTCTTTTAAATGTGAAATTGTTTGATTCTGTACCAGAGCCTGAAGATTTACCACATCATGTCAACTTCGTCAAAGGGAGACAAGACACAGGCTTAGATTTATATTTTGGAGAATATGAAATCCGAAAATAATAGAACCTTGGATATTGAAGTAAGTAAAAGGCGGGCGAAACGACCTAGGAGCGTAATTCAAGGTCAGCGACTCAAGGTCACTCGCTAAACTCAAGTGCGTTATCATAGGAACATTTTATTCCGAATATTAACGGTCAGTGTAATAAACGATATGACTTGGAGCAAAACCTAGTGATAAGATTTTCCATAAACTAATAATACCAAAGGTTTATATTGTGTAAAATACTTAAGTAATTCGATGCATGTGAAAGTTCACACGTACGTGAACTTACTGGAAACTAGTCGTTATCGTGGTAAATTTACTCGGCGAAATCGAATACGCGCATCCCCTTAGAAGGTTTAATTAGTGGTACATATTCATACAGTTCCATATTTTTCTTGGGACATTTTTACCGGTATCACCTTTATGCATGCATACATATAAATGGAGTTATTGCGGACGCCCAGGAGATTAAGTTTCTCTTTAAGAAGTATGTGGTTTAGAAGTAGTCTCTTTTGCAGCAACCAAGTTATAGTCTATTTAACAGATTGAAATGGGTAGCGGAACAATTGGTAATCCTGAGGAAACATTTTTTTATTTTTGATTACAGCTTGATTCCACACTGTATTTTTGGTACAAGTATGGTATTTTTAGCATGGATATCGGTTTGGGCTACCGATATCCATGCTGCATGATCATGCAGGCCGACCCTGAATATCAGGTGTGCGTCGGCAGGGGATCGAACATCGGACCATGTACATGGTCGGCGAGAGTCCTAACCACTGTGCCACCGACGCACATCAGGTTAACAGAACTTGTTTTGCTTAATTTTCACGACAGGTTTTCATATGTTATGCATCGGAAATTACAAAGTAACCCTTCAACTGATATTATGTCAAAGATACCCAAAATGTTACAAAATTGTACATTTTCAAAATGTGTATAAGAAAAGAAGACTCGACTGGCTTTCATTTATCATTTTACCAACAGTTTTGGTCTTTTAGACGACCTATATTGGACATGTTAATGTGTCTTTCTAGTCTCCATTTGAACCCATCGGGGTTTTCACAACATATAATTTCAGATGATAGTTGGTTCCAAAGAGTGCAATATTTAATGATGAAAAAGTTCGCACTAGTGGTTTTTCTGTGGGTAGCCACCTTGATAAGGTAGTCGTGGTTTCGTTATTAGAATATAAGACGGACTCTTATACGATGTTTTCAAGCCTAAAATTGTGTATAAATAACATTATTTTTTTCAGTTTACTCCTTGATGCATGAGAACAAATATCCTTTTTTCCTTCTTGGATTACAACACATCTGAAAGTGCATAAACACATTGTAATTTGTCATGCGGTTCATCTATGACCTTCAGGGTAACATCGAAGAGCTAATGTATATGTAACCCTGCTTGTAGGTTTTGGGAACGCTTTACTACGCAATTCAGATTCATGGGAAAGCAAGCAAATACGTATTACAACAATAAAATAATATTCGTCTTAATGCTTTTGGACTATGAAATCATCTAGTAAAAGTTAGGGTGTTTTCCTTCTAATTGCTGGTATCGGCAAGTATTTCCAACTGTCTCTTATAACTTTCTAAGTTGTAAGCATGGTGCACCAAAAGTTTTAATAAAAGGGCGGCTACAGATTCAGATTATAATGATAGAAGTCTCTTGTCGCCTATGTTTATCTTTGCAACGTATGTCTTTGCAGAGATCTAACTTCTCTTTGAAAGCGTTCACAGATGAAGCTGTTATTAATGAATCAGGTAAGGAGTTCCAGTCGTTGACCACTCTGTAGGAGGATCTAAATTCCACACGTGTTTTGTTCGACCTTGATTTGAGCACCTTCTTATGGTGACCTCTTAAATGAATCTTAGAGAGAGAGAGAGAGAGAGAAGGTTTGAAAGGTAAATCCCTGAGTCACCCTTTAATATACGGTATGCCAAAATTAAGTCACCTTTCCTCCTTCGGTATGATAATGGCAAGAGATTTAAGTGCTCTATCTTTTTGTCATAAGGAAGGTGTGCGATACCAATAACTACTTTGGTTCCTACCCTTTGTACTCTATCCAGGATATGTGAGGGTGCGCTTACTATGCCTAGTCATCGCCTTCCTCGACGAGCAATGTTAGCGCATATAGGGTCAGGCTGGAAAAAAGCTAGTGGCGGTCAAACAAAAACTTGGCACCAGTTAATGAAATCTACAACAGTTAGTCTAAGCCACGTAGGAAGGTGTAGACTTCCTGGTTGGGGTCCTCGGGAGGGTAAAAACCAATGGCTGGAAACAATTGGTGATATGGCTCAAAGTGATCGTTCTCAATGGCTTGCACAGATGCATCCACTCCTTGTGACTTATGATTTCCAATGAAACTATATTGTTCTTCGTTACTTCTATTCCTTTGTCTCACACCTCTGTTTACTGTTTTCATTATGCATTTCTTCTCCTTCTCTTGCGACATGGAGGGAGTGTGGTGACTTGAACTGCCGCACATCGGTGTAAAGTTCTATGTCGAAAACAGACAGATAGACAGACCTATGACAAGTCCGTATGTCATCAGATTGTTCGAAATGTGTTAAGCAAATTACGTCTTCTTATTGCTTTATCAAAATAAATAAATAAATATTTTTAAACGTATCATTGAACTTATTTATTTTTCCTTAAACAGGGGATAAACTGTCATCGTTATCATGTTGTCATCATCGAAAAGTGATAAAGCTGTTGAAAGACAAATGCAAATATTTGAAATTGAAATGATGCAACAAGTTTTCACTAGTATGACAAATAGTTGTCTAGCCAAGTGTATACCAACAAATTATACTGATGGGGATTTAACAAAAGGCGAAGCTGTCTGCTTAGACCGGTGTGCATCGAAATTTATGCAAGCGTATATGCAAGCAACGAAAAAATTGTCAACAATGGCATCACCAGATACAAAATCGATCACTGATAAATAAGTGAAGCGTACCAACGGGCAATGAAACACAATAAAAATGTGCATATCTTCTCATTTTTTTATTACTTCTATTTTGTATCATACTTAGAATTTTCAGTCAGACAATAGTTCTGTTTTACAAAAAAAAAAAGAAAACAAATAAATGCCTTTAATCTGAACAACAGACTTTATTCTATCACATGTGTTATGTATGAAGTTGTAGCGATAGGTAATAAATGTTGAAATGATAGGGAGGATTTGTAGCTCAGGTAGATAATTTTTAGTTAATAGTGTTCTCTGAGCTGGTTGGTTTAGTTGCGGAGCTTTCGTCGTCGCTCTTCTAGACAACATCTTCAGCGCAGTATTTAGGATAAAGTGAAATGATTTAAATTTCCTCATGAGTGATATAATTGCGTCCCCCAGTAACCATCTTTACATATATGGTGGCCATTTCCTATTGACTTGGATTTCAAACTTTCTGGTCATATGATCTAGTTTTTATTAGTTGAAATATTTCGTCTATACTAAAGTGTTTGTTAATTGCATTTTCGTTTGGGTACCAGGCTTCTAGGAATTCCCTGACTGCACTTTTGGTGTTTCCTCTGTCTAAGATTTCGACATTAACCCAGTTATCAAATTGATGTCCATAATTGTCTATGTGCATTGATATGAAACAGGAATATATATCGTGTCTTTTCACGGTTGATTTGTGTTCTTGGATTCTAATTCGAAGGGGACGCCCACTCTGGCGCCACCCACACTAGTTACTAATTAGTGTTTAGCCAAAAAAGGTATTCAATACACTCCAGTATCTGATTGGTCTTATGATTTCTTTGTTAATTTCAATTACGATTGCACAGCTCATGAAAATGAATCGTCGAAAAGAATATTTTCTTTGCTGTTTGTGCCTTTTTCCTGAAATGTCGTTGGATGGTATAAATGCTATTTCGTCTGGTGACAGAGGTTAAAAGTCATATGGTATTGCATGATTAGCACCTGACTCAGGTCTGAAATGCTTACCGAGATGAACAGTCGTTGTAGACTTGATTTCTCACCTAGTTGTAGTAGCTATCGTGTATTTCTGAAGTTTCAACTGTTCTTGAGCGTTGCAATGAAATCAAATCCAAGATCGATAACATCTTCAAACTTTCAACGAAGTAATTTATTTAAAAAAATATCTTGCCAATGTGATTTATGATGAAGACTCAGCAATTCACTTCAATTCATTTGTCGAGTGCTAGTTTGCAGGGATTTGGTTCGTTACAAGATTTCAATAAGAGCTGTAATCAGTTAGAGAACCATTGGAAAACCTGTGAGTACTACGTCGCTTCCCAGTGGCTGAATGATCTACAAGCTCACTTTGTTTCGGAAATGTCCTGGGTCCGAAACTTGGCGGTGAGTGTGTACTACTGATGAGTTCCAAGCACCAAAACGAAGCAGCTGTCCAGGCTTTCCAATGGTTCTCTAACTGATGTCAGTTGGTGATCAACCCTGTGGATTCATTTAATTGAAATTACATCATTTATTTGGTGTCGACTAACAGTGAAATTCAGGATGTACCATCAGTCTGATTATATTCGTCAGTTGGATTTGCTTGCTTCCTTCCCTAGAGAGTGATGCAGGCAGTTACTGAGTGACACTCAAACCCAGTACCCATCGTTTCAAACTGCAATTAGTTATCCACTAGGATATCAGAGAAATCACTTATCCTGCAAACAACGACAGATATCCGGTGAAGAAGTGGTGGTTCTTATGACTCGATGGATAGTGCCGTGAAATTTGAAACCATTGGCAATAGGTTTTGGGTCACAATGGGAACTCCATTATTCATTAGTTCAAAATAGGACCGCTAGCGATTTTCAGCCAAATAACATCATGTTAACCATTAAACATAGTCAAAAAGTGCGTACTGAACGCAGTGTTAAACGAGACCCAGCATTTCACACCGAAATTACCAGTCTGAATATTTCATTACCATATTTTTCTAAGCAATTTTTTAATTTAAGTATTGGTTTGTAGGGATTTGGTTGGTTACAGGATTTCATCATGAGCTGATATTGGTTAGAGAACCATTGGAAAACCACCTGGGAGTACTGGACAGCTGTTTTATCCCAGTGCTTCGGACTCTTCATCAGTACGCACCCACCGATTGGGATTCGAACCCAGGACCTTCTGGTTACAAGGCGAGCTCGTAGACCATTAAGCCACTGGGACCCGATCCAGTGGCCCATGAGTTCTAACTTCTGCCAATTCATGAAACAGCGCGACCCCATATTTTTTAATGCTTTTAAGTTCTCAAATAGAACATAGGGCTTCAAGTCTCCAGCTTTAAGTGGTGTTTATTTTTACAGAATATGGTTGCTAGACTGCCTCATCATGCCCAGCCTTCCCTCTTTACTAGTCTTATTACTAACTTAACGAGGTAAAGGTGTGAGTCGACCAGGGTTTGGACCCCGGATCATACGAGGTGTGGTCAGTGAGCATCCTACCGCTGTGCAACCGACGCAAATTCCATCATTCATTACTATTAAACTGATTTAATTCACCATACTACATGGATGTTAGCCGGTGTGAGATAATCCAACGAATGACACTGATTATGCCCTAACGTGAACAAACAATATATCCATCACTGTCCTACAGCAGGTTAGTCGTCAACCCAAGCAGTTCAGTGGTAATATCCCTGACTGTAGCACTGAGTGAGATAAGTTCGAATTTCAGAGTGGATATAAGTTTCTCCAAGGCCGCAGATACAAGCACAAAAACCAGGTTTAGGACATCCTGATGACTTCATCGTCATACCCTTGCATATTAATTTGTTAATTAGATATATCATAGTCAGTAAAACTGTATTACTTTTAAGTGGATATCCACTTGAGTGGATCAATAAAGCTTATGTTATCAATCTCTCTCTCTCTCTCCACCCTGATGTTACATTCGATTTTAAAACTGTCGTCTTATCCCATTTTCCTGTGTTTCAATGTGTGTATTGCATGTAGTGCTTGCGACAAGTGGACTATTTTCCAGATTCCTTATCTTATTCAGGTCAACCAATCTAGATTTTCCTAGATTTTTGTGCTGTGCTAGTCTAACTGACTGCACCTGTTCTACTAATTTGATCTATTTATTTAACCTGATAATCACTGAAGCAGGGTATTAGATAAACTAAATCGTTTTGTTTTATTGGCTTCACTAACGGAATCATTTAACCGACAAAGCTTGTTTCTAATTGAGTTTGTGGTTGGTTTGAATGCCAGCCACTTTTGTTATTGCCTTGTTAAGAATTCTGTGTAAGGTTTCCGAAGTTCTTTCCTTGTATAGAAGTACTACCGACGATTCAAATTTCTTATTTTTGATGTTGCTGTCGCCAGTGTATGTTTGTCGTGAATGTCGACTTCCATATTATTTTAATTATCCGTAGTAATACCATTATTATTAACGTTATCTTTAAATTTTCCTACATACTTCATTACTGATTTATCAGCGTAATTATTACTAAGTCTTAAAGCTTATCATATATACCTCACTTCCTGTCTTAGATTTTCCCTGCTACTATTCAGTATGTGTGTCGGTGGCACAGTGGTTAGGACTCTCGCCGACCATACACATGGTCCGAGGTTCGAGCCCTCACCGACGCACACCTGATATCTATGGTTGGCGTGCGAAATTTGGGCTACCGATATCCATGCTGAAAATTCCATACTTCTACCAATAATACGGTGTGGAATCAAGCTGTAATCAAAAATAAAAAATAAATTTTGATAAGCGGTTCATCAATCCTGTTTTTACTGAAATAGCATGGTACGAATCGAAATCTGGATATCGGTTCGATTGTGTGGGTTTCCTGTAATCACTAGTATTTAACTTCCAATCTTCTTTCCTTTTCACGCTACAATCTAAGATTGGAAGCACCACCTCTTCCTGCTTTTCCAATTCATAAGCGAATTGAATTGCCTCTGCCTTCAAGTTGATATTTCCAAAAAATCTGCCTATGTCCTGCATTTTAAGTACGGTGAATGTACATACTTCCACCATACTTTTGGGATGAGGCTGAACGTTTCAGTCGTTTAGTTTTCCTACATATTCATGAATCTGTCTACCATTACCAAGGATATTGGCAACTCCCTCAGCCTGTTTGTATGTTTTTCCCTTGGAGGAATTTAAGTACTGTAGAAGTCAGGCTATGCCTGACTCCTAGTACTACATCCTCTATCAGCACTTTTGTTCAAAGTTCAAATTCTTGGTCAGAAAATCAGTTCGTTTCTAACATAATGCTCAAGTTGTTCACACATAAATTTCCTACCTTCTTATAATTAATCTTGACTACTGAGTAGATTATAAGTAGTTAAAGTAAAATGACAAAATATAGTTGAATCAAATAGTTCAACGCTTCATCTTTTTATTCGATTATAAACTTCCAGACCATAGATGTTACGAACTTCCTGGAGTAATCTAAGCGCCGAGTCAGATTGATTCATTACAAATTATTTAAGTTAATCCCAGCGTGTTTAAGAAAAAATCAAAAGTTTTTTTCCGAAAGTTCCGCTGTGTGGTTGTCTGTGTGTATTGATATAAGAGAACCGATATCATGCCTTTCGCCAGGCAATCTATGTTCATGGGTGCGAAGACGAAGAGGACGTCCACCACTTTGGCCAAGTTAGTCGGTGTTTTTCTCAGTCGTTTTATCTTCGTCCTATCCCTGCGTTTCTAAACCTCTTGTAATTCATATCAAGTCGAAAATAATTATCACCTTCGATTCGCCTTTAAAATTATTTCTCCAGTTATCAAATATTAATTTTTTGCATACGTTGTAACTATCTTCTAATCCTATGAAATCTTGCCTCTCTAAGCCTCTTGTAATCTATATTCGTACCTTCAAACTATCATATCAAGTTGAAAATTATTATCACCTTCGTTACTATGTGAAATTAAACAAATAATAATTCTATCCATGTTAAAATAATCTATATAAATGCGATTGTACAGCTTTTGAGAATGAAATCGCCGAAAAGATATCTTTGCTGAACTTCGTGTTCTCTTCTTTCGTTGTTGAGTCTTTTGGTTGACGTAGAGTCAGTCAGCTGAGTGGTAAAGTGATTTTGTTGGTTTGTGTGTAACATCAATTCCTAGAGGTTTGAAG